TAAAAGGATTCTCAGGAACTTTTAAATTTCATGAAGATAACTGCTGAATCTTGTTTTCTACTCATTGTTACCCAACGAGATAAAACTTTGCTTTGTCTTGTTACTTTGCAGCTCCCACGATGTAGTAGAGGCAGGCAAAACTTCAAAGTCTTGCTTCTGTCAACCCTTCAACAAAAGTAGACTTTCAAATGCTGCATACGCTTAATCATTCTGACTTCAATGCTGTCTTTTTTTCTTCTTGCTGCATTCGTGAACCAGTGGGACATGGACTAATTATACTTTTCAGAGACAGTGGACAACGATTATGGATTGTTGGATATGTTCCACTGTTTCTAGGGGCTTCCACATAACTTGAATGTTTACTCTTGGCTCCAGCTTGCCAGGCTCTTCTCCTCTAAGCAGAGCATTTTGTTTAATAGAGCTTTGGTTATCAAAAGGAGGAGTATAGCAAGGCTTTTGGTGAATGAACAGAGCTTTTGAGCAGAGGCTTATTTGTGCTGCTGTTGCAAAAAGAACAATATTAATATTAAATGGCTGAACCAGAGTATCCCCAAGAAGACAGTGTGATGTAGAAGGATTTCAGAAAGCCATAGAACTTTTAGGCCCCATACCTTACTAGTAATGTTGTGCAGGTTTGTGGTGAGTTGGGATGCTTATTCATGTATTATCTGTAAAAGCAAAGGAATGAGTAATTCTGTTAAAATGGAGCTTAAGATGTATCGTGAAACTTGGACAGTAGCATTTTCTGAATCGGCTCTGCAAGTCTGACTTATGTACGGAGTAGTTAGGTGTTTTGAAGTACGTGCTCTTTGGGATATTGCATTCAAATTTCTCAAAGCATATATCATTCTGAATTTTTGCTTCTTTTGAAAATTACTTCCTTGGGTTTTTTTTTCCCCTCAAATAGTAAGTTTGTATTAGAAAACTAAGAAGAAAACTTGGTGTTTAGTAGAGCGACTGGTCGCTTAAAGCTTGGTTTTGTGCAGATTTATATGCCCTTTACTACCTTTTTGCGCTTTTTTCCACTCATGTCCTGCAAGTAATGGCTGGGCAAGAGTCAGCACATGCTGTGAATAACTGTGTACTAATTTGTTCAGGTGTCCTGCCTAGGCAGCTGTCAGGCCAGACAGAACACAGAACTGAAGCTCATGTTGAAGTATTGGCAACTAAAAGTTGCCAATGTGATTTTTCTACATTTCCACTAATTTTTTTTTTTTGTTACAGTTAATCTTTTAGTATCTCAAGTGTCGTCAAATTCAGATAGTGGATTTAAAAGCTGTGGTTAGTGGGGAATAATCGGGGTACCAAAGATGTAAATGCTGAGTGATCATTCCCCACCGTAACTCAACAGCAAGTTGTATGGCATAAATTTCCTTGGTGTTTATCATAAGAGTAACTTTTTAAATAGCTTTGAAATAAAAAATGTGATGGCCTGATCAGTAAAAACATTCACGTTTCTCACGGCAAACTTTTCTTTGCACAAGATTCAGTACTGTTAGTGACTTATTTTAAGACTACGCAAAGATAACTGTTTCAAAAAACAATTGTATGATGGTGCGAATTCTGTCTCTGACAATATTTTTAAATTTAATTTCCAATTTTGATTTCATCCTATGGTATTGCACAGCCCACTGCCATTTTCTTTTTTTGTAGGTAGCTGAAAATTGTGTATTACGGCTTGTTCGAAGCCTAATCAATGCAGTATTGTGGGTCCCTGTCAAGTCAGATGATAGTAACAAAAGTATAGCTAGAAAGAGCATACAGGTCACCAGCAAACAAGGCAAGACAACGGGCCTTTTATTGTGCTCTGAATGCTTGCTTGGAACGGCTGCTGATGTTCAAAGCATTGTGTGGTACTTCATACAGAAATAGACAAAACTGTGCCTTTTAATAGTTTCTTGTGTGATGTTAAAGCTTTAAAATTGGCTTTCTAAAGGACTTGTCTGTATTTAAGGCTTCTAAGAAATTGTACTTTCTCTGAGAACTCTTTAGGTACAGAAACTTATGTGAAATTTAATTTGCATCTCTGGTGTGGTAAAGTAAATGTTTTAACCTGTGTTTGTATAGCTACTGCTTTCAGACTCTCTTAAAATGAGAACTTCTTGCTGAAGCATGTGTGAGTAAGTCTAGGTTCTTTTGCTTGGTGGTTGTGTGTTGCCCATTAGCAATACTGTTCTTTCTGCTACCAGTAACAGAGAACCAATAAAGAGTGCCTGGCAGGTTTAATTAAATAAGTTATAATAGTGACTTAAGGTATATTTCAGTTGTTACTACTTTTGTGTTAAGTATTTAGAAGAAATTAGTTGCTCCAGGAAACGTTTTAGGAAGCCTGCTCTCTGAAGGTTTGCAAAAATTGCAATGCAATGCAATGCAAGAATTGACGCCTTTAAGAAGCTTGCATCATTTTAAACCAATAATGTGTTTGGACAGCACAGTCCTCCTTCGTACCTGTCTGCATATTCATAGAACTGTTATCTGCTATAGCTGCATAGCTGGTAAATGATCTAAAGTCACACAGGACCTTGTTTTCTGATTTCTCCTAGAAATTGCCTGTAGTGGTCAGGAAGGCTTGAGACTATTTGACATGGAGTTGGGTTTTTTGTGGGTTGTGGTGTTGTGTTCCCCCCCCCGTGCTTATGCACTTCAGGGTGAAGATGAAGCAGAAAACTGGGAGGGAGAAAGGTGAAAAACTGGATTGTGGTTTGACTGTTGCTTTGAGTTGTTCTCAGAACAGGTTTCAGTGGTACTAGTGACACGATAATTGTGATGAGTTTCATTGGTCTGACTTGTTTTGGGTGGTAGGAGAAAGGGGAGTAATTTAGTGGCCTGATACGGGTGGGGAAGAGGACCTCCTCTTTCATTCACTAGCACATCTTAGGCTGGATGCAAACTGATCATCATGGTACAGCCCTGAGTGTTATTCTGGTAGGTGCGGGATCAAGTAGGGGCTGTTCTAACGCTTGCCTTCCTGCTTGTCTGAAATTAGGCACAGCTTTTTCTTTTCTTCATTGTTTCCTGGTGTTCCTCCCAATACTGAAGTTGGGGGAGGAGGGAGTGTGGGGTGGAATGGGACTGTGTAGATTTGGATACCACCAGCTCCTGCTGCCAAGTATTCTGTAACTAGCCATAAACAGGACTTCTCTTCCTCCTAGCAATCATATGACAACTAGTTGCTACAGTTATACTCATAAATCTAAGTATAGAAATACTACTGCTGGCCCACATCAGGCTATCCACTGCAGATATTTAAAGCTTACCCATAAATGCTCTGACTTTATAAATTTTGTCAGCAAAAAGTAGTGCTTATGTGAAAGATTGCTACTATTAAAATAGCACTTCATGCTGTTGGCTATTATTTTAGAACAGACTTGTGACTTTTTTTGACTAAGTTTATATCTTCTAACTTTGTATGAAGAAGTATTAAATACCTTCAGTTTCATTTCATCTATTACCATACTGAAAATAATGACTGTTTAAATTTGCGAACTCAAATCAGTGCATTGAACTTAACCCTTTTGTGGAGTAAAATTGCTGGATGAATGCTGAATAGCTGAGTTTATTTGAAGTAGGAACTACTGATCTTATTTTTAGATGAGTATTTAAATCACTAATTTAGAGCTATTCTTTGATCATTTTATCTGTTTCCCATTGTTGTTTGTCTCTATCCAGTAGATGACAATAATGACTGTGTAGTGTTGGACATGCAAGCAGGCTATATGGAATTGAGATATCAAGTATGAAATACATACTTATGCTGTCTGTCTGATCTCTCTAATCCTGAGCAATCTTGAAATGACCTATAAGATTTATCACATTTCACAACTAGTGCTCCCGAAGATGCTAAGTTGCTACAATTTTGGTGAAGTTAGCTGGCCAGGTAAAGAAGAAGAAAACCTCTCTGGGGAAAATGATGTAGTGGAAGTATCACAGCTTCTCCCTTGATTTGCCAGCTTTCAGGGCAGTCGGTTTATGCAGCTCTGGCTTGTTAGAGCATGTGCTTCCTCTGAAGGTCATGGGGACAGTGCTGATAACCTGACACTATTGCAGGGATAGAGGGCAACAATTGTAGGAGGCATGTAAGAGGGGTGGTCAGGACTATTTCAGAAAGGGTGTGGGAAGAAAGGGTATGCATCACAAAAAGAAAGCTTTTTTGATTCCACTTCTCTGGAAGAAACTTGTTCTAAAATGGCAGAGTCTGTTTTTAGAGGGTGGCTAATGTTTGGTGTATCGTTTGGGTGCATATTCAGGTTACTTGCAGAGTAGTCTTAAGTGCTTAAAGAAAACGTTTTAAGTGTGACAACTCCTGTGTCTTGTTTAGTTTTGAGAACAGTCACCTCTCCTCTTGTTTTGGTCAGGAATTGAAGCTGAACACACTGAGAATTTTGCAATTGCTTCAACTCCTGCACACTCACAACTACATTAGAAAATTAAAGCAGAGCAAGAGTACTTTTTCCCCTTACACCCTCACTCAAATCATGATACCGTAGAAACTGCATCATGGTAAGAAAGGCTGTTTATAAAAAAAGTTTCTGTACTCAAATAGTAATTGAAGTATAAATACTAAACCTCAGATCCTTTAAAAGCTACCATCTGGGGCTTATGGCATATGGAATCTGTTGAAACAGTTTAAACCCTGAAGTACAGGTAAGGGAATGTGTAAATGAGGTGAAGGAGAAGAGTCTTAAAGATCACAAGTAGAAATCAGGTGCTTTGCCCTTTCATGAGTACGTACTACAAATATTTTGTAAAAGTAGTATTTGATGGTGAAATTAGATGCTAGGATTCGCTTGCCCTGCTGTGACAGATGGTCTTTCAACTTTAAGTATTTAGACCAGTACGTGGTGCGCCAGTCAGTTGTTAAAGCAGCTCAGTCTGGAACAAAAAATGTGCAGCCACACACTTTTTAATGGTTTGATGTATTAACAATTGTAACTTAAACAGGTTTTGAATTAAGATACTTTCTCTGATTAATCCATGGTTTTGTTTTGTTTTTTAATAAGGTGTGCAAACAGATTTGGCTAGGCCTATTTGATGATAGATCATCAGCAATTCCAGACTTCAGGGATCCACAGAAAGTAAAGGAATTTCTACAGGAAAAATACGAAAAGAAAAGATGGTAAGATAGCTTTACAATTCTAAAGATTGCCTCTATGACAAGAAGCGAAGATGGACTCTTATCCTCGCATTCTTGAGTGTGCTTTCCGTCTTTGGACTGTAGATCGCACAGCTCTGTAAAGTAAAATGGTTTCTGGACTTTATTCAGAGCTCCTACAGGAAGCAGAGAAGACAAACTATTTAAAGAAGTTTCTCAATGTGTAGTTCATACTGATGGAACAGAAATGGCTTAAGGGGATGTCAACAACAGTGTAAAGTAAGGGTTTTGCAGGCTTTTATTAGGAGGTGGAAGACACGTATGGTTTGTATTAAATAAGTGCTATAAAATATTGATGACTTGGAATTCTAGTCCATTTAAAAAAGAAGTCTGGCATATTTAAATAATGGGTATTTTGCAAACCACGGATAGAATTTGTTGCAGGGTCAGTGGTTAAAATAGCAAAGTTGAGATCTACCAGTTCTCATGCTTGAGTCTTATGAATGTTGAGCAGAACTTTTCATGTTAAACTTGTAAAAACCATTGCTCTTTTTGAATGTAGGTATGTTCCTCCAGAGCAAGCAAAGGTGGTGGCATCAGTCCATGCATCCATATCGGGGTCTTCTGCTAGTAGTACAAGCAGCACACCTGAGGTGAAGCCACTCAAATCTCTCTTGGGAGAAGCTGCACCCACACTGCACTTAAACAAGGGCACACCTAGCCAAGTGAGTAATGACAGAGCTGAAGAGCACTGAACTGTTCAGCAGTACTTTTTCTCTTCTAGTGGCACAAGAATTTTTGCAATCGCAACTGTTACCTAATAATATGATCACTAAAGACAACTTGATGTATTTTGTTGAAGTATACAGGTGTCTGCAGATCAGGTTCTAAATTAAGCTTGTTTCTATTGACTAAATTGATTTTTTTAAGGGTTATTTTCAGTAAGCAGAATTTTCCAGTGCAATTGACAAGTTTATGATCATCTTTTGCTTAAATATCTCTAAAGTTTGAACCTAATGTGATATATTTTCATGTTTGGTTTTTTATTTGAAAATAATAAAACGGCTGCTACTGTTAACCATGAGATTAGTAGTGAATATGTGGATGAAAAGCATGCGTGTTCATTATTACTTGCTATGCATTCTGTAACTGTCTTATTGAGTGGCTTTCAGGGAGTGCCTGTGTGCTGTTCTGTAAAGCCAGACACCACCATGTACTTAGGTTTTGGAGGGTAGACAGTTTTTTGACAAACTGTTTTACCTTTAGGGTACAGGCAACTCTTGAATGGACCTCTTAAAACTCAAACAGTAGACATTTGCAGCTTTCAGCCTTGCTATGAAATTCTTCAATTTTTCTCTCCCTGCACTGAATTCTAAAGATGATTTCAGAATGCAGTGAACAACTGTGTTCCAACTTGTAAAATTAAATTTTATTGCTTGTATTTGTACAGAATTTACAGTTTTAAATACGTAATTTTGAAGTTGCTTATACACTGCTACTTTATTCTTCTAGGCCCTATTAATCCATGGAAATCTGCTGCGGAGTTCCTTTAAAAGCCACCATAGTAGCATAAATAGATTGTCTTTCTCATACTATATGAGGAAGGTCTGTGCTGTATGCAGCGTCTTAAATGTCAGGAATAAATGGCTTGTTAAAGAAATATGCTTAGTCTATCCTTCTGGTATTTTGCAAAAGTCAGTTTGGTAAAATATCAGCTTTTTTGTATTAGCTAATTGAAATGTTGTTTGTAGTCTCCTGTTGTAGTTCGATCTCAAGGACAGCAGCAACAAGAAAAGAAACAATTTGACCTCCTCAGTGACCTTGGCTCAGATATCTTTGCTGCTGCTCCTCCTCAGTCAACTGCTACAGCAAATTTTGCTAATTTTGCACACTTCAACAGTCATACAGGTAAGTATTCTGAGCAGTGTATCCCTTTTAAATGTATAAAACATAGTTTTAATTTTTGATGACTTTAGACTAAACTTCTTCATGAGGTATATGTAATTTCTGTGTCTTGAGAACGTTGTATTGCTCAAGATTTCCTTTGGATCTTTATAAAGAAAGGTTGAAGACATAAAGGCTGATAATCCTGCTTTTTCAAGTGGGAGTTGCTATAGCTATTTTCTGCGATATGTATGATTAGACTGTTTCTGCCTGCTACTAGGCAGAACTTTAAATTCTTCGGGGGAGAGAGTGAGAGGATGAGTAACAGAATGTAGGGAGAAGCTGATATTAGACCTTCAATTTTCTTTCTGAAAATTATTAGGAAGAGCATTCATGGAAAGAGAGCAGATACAGAGACTTTAAGGGAGTTCAAATGCATTGACAATAACTGTCAAATTTGTTAAAAACAAAGGCTTCCTCAGTTTAAAGAACGACCTCCTCTTTTGTGTGTGTCTCTTTGAAAACTGAATACTAGCCGTGTGGGTAGTATTCTGTAGTTTCAGGAAGAATAAACAAGCTTTGAGCATATGTATTTACTGAGGATGGGGGTAGGCCTTGAATTCTTAAAGAATGACTTCAGTAAAATATATTGAGCCCTCAGGGTTTATTTTCAGCCAAAGATCTTGAGCCACAGAAGTCTATCCTAAAGAAAAAGTTGATTCTGTGGTCACTGAAGTATGTTGCTGCTAACTTGCATTGTAATTGTGGGAAAGTACCTTTGCCTGCCTTGTCTGAATGGCTTTTCATCTAGTTTTTTCCGAGAGAAACTGTGGTGCTGCTATAAGCCAACAAGAATAAGAGATATTTCTTGAAATTAGTCCTGAAATTGTTAACAGCTGAGAGGAAATGTGATGGAGGGGACTTAAGGCACACCTGAGGAACTGAGAAAGGTACCAAGGCTTTCTCAGAGTAACTTGAGAAAAGAAATGTTGTGAAATAATTGGCTGAATTCAGTAATACAGAATAAGAATTGCTGTTGCAGTGTCTTTTGTAAAAATCCTTAACGTAAGATGTCATGTTAATAATCTTTTTGGAGGTATGTTTAACTGGGAGAACTTGTGCTGGCTGGCCAATGTTGTACAGTGTTACTGAAGAGGCTGCAGATATTTAATTCTTTCTAATAACTTACTCTTTCCAAACTTGTTGCTGAATGATTATTTATATACTTAATTACTTGTTGTGGGTTTCAGGAGATGAAAATTCCATTAAAGCAATGTTTCAATACTGTGTTCCAAATCTAGGTAAAATTTCATTGCTTTTCTGCTGGGTAATTTTTAAAAGGATAAAAAGCAGTATGAACACTCCAGAATAAATATAATCTTATGAAAGAGTCCGTTTAATTTCTGGTTGAAATAAGTGCTGGAAATCAAAATTGAGAGGAATACTCAGCTATACTGGCTAGTTTTCTGTTTCAATATTAACCATTGTGGTCATTCCCATGACTCCTTTCCATAAGTTTTAGAAGCCAAAACAGTTTCAGGACTAGTAAGTCAGTTTCTAAAAGACAAAAATGTAATTCTGAGCATGCGATAGCTGAATGCGTATTGCGGACTGGTTTGTCTGAAGGTGTTTTCAGACTTTCTAGGGTAAAAGCCTTATAATAATAATAAGCCTTAAACAACTTGTAAGGCTTGTTCTGTGTGCAGTAACCACAAGGGTAGTGTTAACTGTAACTAATAATGAAATGTTACAGACTCTTCCCTTTGGAACACAAGAAGGGTTGATCAGGCTGCCAGCTTTGGCAAAAATGAATTTTAAATGCTCATTTAAGGAGCTGTATAAACATGTAATTTTTGTTAGTAATCACACACTACAGCAAAGCATGGAAGAACTTGCACTTAGTCCAGCACTGCTTTCTCGAAGTTTATGGTCCAGTGTTCTTGTTTTAGGGCTTGGTTTTAGCTATGCCTACAGGGCATGGACTTTTCTCTTTCCCTTCATGTACACTATGGCTAACTAAGGAAATCACTGAAGAGCACTGGCAAATTTAAGGTCTTCCAGTATAAGTTACTGTTTCTGCAATTAAGGCACAACTGAGTGCAGCAGCTGACAGGAAAATATTAACAAACTTGTGCTGTGATCTGTAAAGTGTAAATGTAAAGCTTGAAAATTATGCAGGAAGTGCAATTTTTGATATGTTCCTTTTTTCTGAGTTTTCTAATGTAATAAGCTGGCTCAGGACATTGTTGCATCTTGAAGGGGAAACATGCTGACCTTACGTTTACTGTCTGTATTTAATTTACAAAGTTCCATAACTTCTGCAAAATGATGAGATTTTGAAGATGATGGTAGACAACTGTTCTCTGTCTGTAGTTTACAGACTGGTAATAGTGACAAAGATAAAAATTTTGGTCATGTAGGCTTTCTATAAACTGATGGAATAGAAGACCTGCACAAAAGATTTTAAAAAGGCGTAGTGACACAGCACAACTCTCTCACGGTTAACAAGGGAGAAGAGGCTTTAACCAGAAGAAGTAAAACAGTATGACATAGTTACTGTCTTCTAGAGAATTATTTTCAATTTTGTAATTGAATATATGTGGACTTTATTTTAGGTTTTTTTGGTTTTGCAGTGTTTCATGCCTTTATTCCACACTAGGTAGTGCAAACCTCACAGAAGAAACCATGCAAAGATTGTAGGGGCAGCTTGCGTTGCCATGACTGGTGCTGTCGTACTTGAGCTAGCTTTAGCCAGCTAGCTTTTGTACTGCCTCATTGATCCGCAGTCACAACAGCAGTTGTACGTCTATGCCGATCTGCAATCCACTGCAGTTCCTTAACTTACTTAGGGTTGTTCTTGGGTTTCTACATGGAGAACTGAATTTTGGAATTGCCAATCTACATATTGTTCAGGAAAGTACAAGTCTTACCTGGTCTTTACCCTTGTGCCACTTTTACATAGGTTTAAACTTCACCACATAAAATAAAGCAAGATTAACATCTGAATAGTCTGCAGAAGAGTCTTCACAGCTCTACTGTTTTAACATGGGCCCACTTGCAAATCATGCTTTCTGTGTCAGCTGATGCAATAAAATTGTTAAAAGTGGCCTGTAATATAATACGTTCCATTTTTTGTTCTAGACCCAAAAGATACTTCATTTAAAAATATTGATGCAGTATTCTGTTTGTGTGACTAGTTAAAATGAAAAATGCTGTCACAATTCTAGGAGTGACGTTTTATGTACTTAATCCTACTTGGCCAACTAAACATCAGTCTCTGAGTAGCCCCTATCCAATTGGTGCATCAGAATGAAAGCATCGCTTTCATCTTAAAGCAAGGTGCAATTGAATTCTTAATCTATTCCTCTTAAAAATCTACTGGTTTAAAACCAAAACAAACAAAAAAACAAACTGTGGAATTTGGAGTTGAAGTCTGTAGAATGCTGTTTGAACCAATACAGATGGTATAATAATAGAAACTATTTTTCCTCTGTTTGTGTCAACTTTTTCTCCTTGCACGCTTTAAAGGTGAATATTTTAGGACAGAACTTTCCCAAGACTTGCTTTCTCATTGATTTCCTCCCCCCCCTTGCTTGTTGACTCTCATGCTGTGGTGGGTTGATGTTGGCTGGCTGCCAGGTGCCCACCAAGATGCTCTCTCATTCCCCCTCTCAGCAGGATGGGGGCAGAAAATATGATGAAGAAGCTTGTGAGTCAAGATAAGGACAGGGAGATGGCTCGCCAGTTACCGTCATGGGCAAAACATACTCGACTTGGGGAAGATTAACTTAATTTATTGTCAATTAATAATAGAGTAGGATAGTGAGAAATAAAAACAAAACTAAAACCACCTTCACCCCTTCTTTCCAGGCTCATTTTCACTTCTGACTCTTCTACCTCCTCCCCCTGAGCGGTGCAGGGGGACAGGGAATAGGGGTTGCAGTCAGTTCGTAACACTTCATCTCTGCCATTCCATCCTCCTCATGCTGTTCCCCTGCTCCATTGTGGGGTCCCTCCCCCTCAATGGGATACAGTCCTTCACAAACTTCTTCAATGTGGGCCCTTCCCGTGGGCTACAGTTCTTCAAGATCTGCTCCAGCATGGGTCCTTTCCATGGGGTGCAGTCCTTCAGGCATGGACTGCTCCAGCGTGGGCCCCCCGCACGGTCACAGCTCCTGCCAGAAAAGCTGCTCCTGCAATGGGCTCCTCTCCATTAGCCACAGCTTCTGCCAGGAGCCTGCTCCAGTATGGGCTTTCCACAGGCTCCAGCTTCCTTCAGGGCATCTCTACCTGCTCTGGTGTGGGGTCCTCCACAGGCTGCAGTGTGGATATCTGTTCCACCATGGTCCTCCATGGGCTGCGGGGTGACAGCCGCCTTCTTCACCGTGGTCTTCTCCATGGACTGCAGGGGAATCTCTGCTCCAGTGCCTGGAGCATGTCCTCCCCCTCCCTCTTCACTGACTTTGGTGTCTGCAGGGTTGTTTCTGTCACGTTTTTCTCACTCCTCTCTCTCACAGCTGCTGCACAGTGTTTTTTACCCTTTCTTAAATATGTTACCACAGAGGTGCCACCAGCATTGCTGATGGGCTCAGCTTTGGGCAGCAGCAGGTCTGTTTTGGAGCCGGCTGTCAGAAATAGGGGCAGCTTCTGATCTCTTCTCACAGGGGCCAGCCCTGCAACCCCCCTGCTACCAAAACTGTGCTGTGTAAACCCAACATGCATGCACACTTCTAATAAGGAGTGGTATTAAGTAGAGTCAAACCTCACCCTCTCTCCCAGTATCACCTGTGAAGGGAAATACTTGCACTTTCATTTATATTAGCAGCATTGTGGAATGCAGTAGTTGTATAAAAATGTCCTTTTAGTTTATAAATCTGTAGTACAGATGCTTTTTTAATAGAAATTAAGTGAAATAATGCAAATTTTTATTAGCGTTATCTGGCTATTAAGTAACAGTACTTAAACAATCAGCATAATTTATTGTTTTTTTTAATACATTTAATCTGCAAAATCCCTCCAGAATAAACAAATCCCGACCCAAAAATATAATGTATTGCATCTGTTATTCTAGGTGGTGTTTTGTGGGCTTTCTTTAGATGGTAATTCAAGTTACCTATGTATATGGGTTTGTTTTGCATTTGATTAAAACCACTTTTTTCCCTTACTCTTTACTTATAACAATGTTTAAGACTTTCTGTGGAGCTTATCAGTTAGGCACACAATTCCTCTTGAATCTGTAGATGCTTGAATGTCCAGCTGTTTGAAATTAGATGGGTGTTAACTTCTATTTTCTCCTATAGTATGGCACGAAAGGAAGGCGAAAACTGAAATTCTGTTTGAAATTTCCTTGGATTTTATTTTGTGGATACACTCTATGAATGCTATCTTCTTGACATTGGTATTGATCTTTCATATTTCTGTAATCTGATTTTTTTAGTTTTTTAAAAACTGAATTTTCCAGTGAAATGAATTTATAAACCTAGCCAAAACTATTCAAGTGGTGCCAAACTAAATTCACCCAGGGAAGAAGCACTTTGTATATGAGGAATTCAAGTTGTTCAGTATTCAAGTTGTTCAGTTAGTCCACAAATTCTAGTTTTGGAAACTGGCGCTTAGGTTGATACCTGGTTTGGGTTCTACAGGTACGCATCTGCTATGCTGTACTTTTTGGCTGTTTTTCCCTGACCAGCCACCACTGCAAACACTCTAGGGTTAAGCTGAACTGAACTTGGTCATGCGGTTGTGAGTAGTAGCATGTGTGAGGAGGAGAGAAGTAGCATTAACTGGTACAGCTGTGAAGGTGATTTGTGAAAGCTTGTTCAAAGACAACTTTCAGTTGTAGAATATCATGTATAGTTTTTTCATGTAAAAAGAAATTACAAGGTAGGACATAACCCTTGGAGGCTGTCATGACCATGAATTCAGTTAATACATCTGTTTTTGTGTTTATTTCCCATATCCATTAACATGTTTTGTTCCTTTGCAATTTACAGCGCAGAACTCTGCAAATGCAGGTTTTGCAAACTTTGATGCATTTGGACAGTCTAGTGGCTCGAGTAATTTTGGAGGTTTCCCCACAGCAAGTCAGCCTTCTTTTCAGCCCCAAAATACAGGTAGAACTCCTAGCACTTTTGATTAATACTTAATTGAAATAATCCGTTACCTTTATGTTGGAAGGTACTTAAGTTGAGTTTATTTCTTGCATCTGCCTGCTTTAATGCAATCAAGCCATCTGAAGCTCTGGGGAAACTCAAAATGAATTCCTTCTGTTTGGTGTTGATTTTCTTTCTTTTTTTTTTTTTTCCCCTCCTATTGCTACTCAGAAGTCTGATTTATGGCACTATGTGTTTGTTAGCTCTACACCTGAAATAACTATGAAAAGAGTAAACCATACTGCTTTTGAGAAATATTGAATTGACTCTTTATCTTGTAAGAAAAGTGTTTCAGTAGACCCAAAAGCACATTGCAGTACCAAAAAAGTGTGTCTATGCGTATGTATAACACATGCACACACTACAGTTTGACTTCATGTGTAGAGCCTATTGCTAAGATTTATTTTGCTTTCCTTTAATTTGATCATGCTTTAGAACTTCGGCTTGAGCTTACACTTGCTGTTTGTCTAGATCTTTGGCTGACTGACTTTCTTTTCCTTTTTTTTTTTTCTTCTTCTTTTGAGTGTGGTGGTGTTTTAAACTTTTTTTTTCAAATTTTCTTTCTCCCTTCTTATGTTAACTTTAACCCACACACAATTTCTGGCTGTCCAGCGTTCAGAACGCTTTCATCTAGCTGCAGTTTTGGTGAATTTACTTCAGCTTTTCCTCTCCAGGCTGTGCACAGTAAGTTCCACGCAGTGGAAAACTCAGCTTGCTTCATTTTATGCCATTGTAGTATAGCGTTTTCATTCCTGCTGTTGCATATGTTTTAACTTTGTGATTATGCTATTAGAAGGTTGTGCGTTCTGTAGTATGAGTGGAATCCTCAACCAACTGTTATAAAATATGATACACTTAATGGAACAACTCGTTTAAATTTAAGTACGTGACCTGCCTAGATTAAATTGTCTGGACACTGAAGATATGGAAGCTCATGGTTTCACGTTTGAACTGAAGTTCAATTGTGTGGACTTAAGTCAGATTTTTAAAATTGATTTATGTATCTCTGATGTCAGTGGAGACTTGGTATAAAAAGAGCTGTGTTGTGTCTTCCCCCTCTCCTCTTTCCTGATTGGATGTAGTCTAAAAACCTGAGAACAGAGAACCAAACTCTCTCTCTAAACCTTGGCATGGAATCATACTACTGTTGGAATTCTAGGCACTGTTTTTTGCTTAGAACGATGACTGACATCTGAAACAGTTAAACACTGTGCCATTAAGTAAATGCAAATAGTAGCTATTCATTAGACACGTGGCAGGAAAATGAAGCTTCTGTATTTTGAATATTAAAGATTCAGACAAATACTTATTTTTCTAGCAAAATATTACTGTAGAAATTACTTTAACGGCTAATAAATGGCATAACGTTTTTCAAGATCGAATTATGACTGTGATTTAAGCTGTCAAAGCTTGGTTTTTTTGTCCCTGATCTGCAGACTGAAAAATGTAAAAAAAAAAATTTATTTTTTCTGATGACCCAATGTAACTTTGAAGGAAAGGGGAAAGGGTCTTAAACATGTGGGATGGGGCGGGGGAACATTTTGCCTCACGTAACCACAAAGAGGTGGGATTATTGTGCCATCAGTTACAGTTGGAGAGACTTTCTCTAGCTTTGGAGTGTTGATCATGTTTAACTTAATTTGTTACAGGTGGAAGCGCTGGATCAGTGAATGCTAACTTTGCTCACTTTGATAACTTCCCCAAATCCTCCAGTGCTGACTTTGGAGCCTTCAATGCTTCTCAGAGCAGCACAACAGCAACTGCAGCCAGTAAAGCTGCAGTGAATAAATCGAATCTCCAGTCAGCTGACAAATACGCAGCTCTTGCTAATTTAGATAATATCTTCAGCGCAGGGCAAGGTATTAAACTTTATTCTTTGACGTGCTTATTCTACATGTTTATACTTACCACAAGGATGGCTGTGCATGTCAAAATAGCAACCGTATTTCAAAATGTCCTTTCTTTAAGTTACCAGTAGAATTTCACATCAGTGTACCCTTAATGTGTAAGATGTAAGTTTTAAGACTAACATCACTCCGAAAGGATGTCATCAGAAGACTGCTTTTTGGGAACCTACTTGCTATCAAAATGAATAACTCTTAAGTGGAAATATCTAAATAATTATTACGGCAATGATGAAAATATATAAAAATATATATTTTGTGTTTGTGCTAGAACCTATAGTGAAGGCTCTTGAATGGAGAGCTACAGTTGTTGCAGAGAACTGCCAGAGTAGCTTTCCTAGCTCTCTGCCACAAAAAGATTTGGCTTTAGGTTTTTTATGAACTAGTAGCAGTGATGCTTGGATTTAGTTGATTTTAAGTTAAGGAGGAAAAAATCTAGTTATTCTGTAACTTTTTTTCTTCTCAAATGGTGTATAAAAACTTGTGTTGGTTTGTAATGTAGAGCTTTGTTCCGAAATGGATAATTTGAGGGTATGTGTTTTGTTGAATTTTCTAGCTGAAAATGACAGTACTATTGAGTCATCATTTTCCAGGGAAACCAGAGGCTCTCTGGAGCTGCAGAATATCTATAGAAGCATGACGCTTTGCTAATAGCTAACGGCTTGTTAAACACTTTTTTTCCCTGTATGCCCTAGCGCATATTTAATTTTTAAGTCTGAAACTTAAACTGTCCATGAACTTTCATTTAGTTCTCAACGCTGGCAGGGCAGAAAGTGAAACCACCTTCATCGCTTTTAATTTGGTTTTTTTCTTTCTAGGTGGTACTGAGCAAGGAAGTGGCTTCAGTACAGTAGTGTCGGCATCAGCAGGTCCTGCATTGTCAGCCCCAAATCAGTCAAGTGCGTCTTCAGACAAGTATGCGGCTCTAGCAGAATTAGACAGCGTGTTCAGCTCCACAGCAACCTCTAGTAACGCATATACTTCCACCAGTAACGTTAGCAGGTACTTTGTTAGAAGTAGCTGACTTTTTCTACATTGACTTCAGCGACATGCGGAAAAGTAGCTCAAAGTTGTTTCTCAAATCTGGTTTTATGTCTTACACCTAAATGGGGAAATGTTGAATGAGTTTAGAGGTACTACTGAAACTGCATCCTTTGTTTTAAATAATAGCAGTACTGTCTGATAGGATATTATAAGATAAAATTAAGAATACTTTTTGGCAGCAGAATGTTCTCTGCACCTTTCTAGTCATTACATGCTAAACCTGTTAGATGGTAACACTTTCCTGTACAGAATATTTGCATGCATACTGAAAATCATAGCATCATCCCTGGCAAAAAAGTTATTCAGATATTTATAATGTAAATGGTGCCAGCCACTTCTTTTTTTAGATCATTAAAGTAATAAATACCAAACGCCTGTTATAGCTCTGCTTGGTATTGCAAGTGCCCCTAAAGCTTCTGCTTTGCAACCTTTATGCTGATGGCCTCTGTTCAATATTCTTTCTCCTGCTGTTGGTGGAGAGGACTTTTCATTGCTCAGCACTAGTTATAGTCTCTGACCCTGGCATCAGGGGCTCAATTCCTGGCATCAGTGAATCATATTGCAGTTTGCAAACTGCACGTAAGCATTCCTTTTCTATTCTTTTACATGCCAACAATAATTGTAAGTTGTATTTAATTGTTAAACAAGCAATTCTGACTTCACTGAATGTATGAATTATTTTCAGCAATGCTTTTGGAACAGTACCTGTGGCTGCTACTGCACAGACACAGCCTGCATCTTCGAGTGTGCCTGCTCCATTTGGAGGTACATAAGAGTTACTAACACCTTTTGAGGACTGTAAGCAAACATCTTACTAATTTTTAGTTGATAGTGCTATACTTTGGCATTAGTGATACCGAAGTTACTAAAGGATGCCAAAAAAGTACTGTTCTTGTGATGCATTAAGCATTTTATTATCAATTCCTAATTTTTCACGTAATTTTAGATATTTATGTATTTGTATAAAAGCTGTATAAGTTTAATGTGAGTCAGATTGGCTATTTTTAAAAGACTTTATTAAATAAAATGTTCTTAATCTTTCAGCAACACCTTCCACAAATCCATTTGTAGCTGCCCCTGTTGCCCCAGTGGCACCTTCAACAAATCCATTCCAGACCAATAGCCGAGGAGCAACAGGTTAGGAAAAAACCCTGAGTGTTTGAGAAACTTTCTTTCAAGACTTGCATTGATTCTTTTTTTCATAGTGTGTCATTTGTTCCTTAAAGGTTTTCTGTATTATCTGTGTCTAGTCTATTTGACATGTTGTATGTGTGTGTGTGTTCAACGTAGAGTACAATATTTATGAATAGGCTGCAGAAATCAACTTTAACTTTTTTTTTTGAGATAAGTGATGTTTTTGTTGGGCTGAGGACATTAGTTTCCTGTTTCTGGCCCAATCCTAGGATTTCAAATGGCGGCCATGAAAAATGTCAAAATGATCAGTTTAAGATCTTCTAATACTACCTAAGCTATTTGTAGTCTGTGTATTACCAGCTGGGTGCCTTCCAAGACTATAACCTTGGCTTTGAAGCATGCTTTATCACAGGTTGCCCTGAAATCGGGGATCTTGAAAGCCCTGCTGCTAAGCTGGTACACTTGCTGTTTTTTCTTTCTTTATTTCAAAGTCCTGCAAGCCCTCAAAACCAAAGAGCTGGGGCTGGAACCAGGAAAGACAAGGCTTTTGGGCTGTTAGCTCCTCACCAGCCCACTTATTCGGTACATTGGTGCTGTCCTTTATTTTTCCCTTTTGTAACAGTAAAGCAGGTGTTTAAATATAATCTTTACGCTCCTGATTTACATTAATTTTCTGTAGAATCATAATTCCATAGACAAAAACTTAATCACTTTTTAAAAAAGCAAACCTGTACTTTTCTTTAAAACACTGAACTTGGGTTTAGATGACTTAGATTATGCTAATTTTCCTCTCCAAAGGCACTGCTAAATTCTAGTACTTTTATTTGTCAACTGGACTTCCACAGACTTAAATCTGCTGATGTATGCATTTTAAGAGTTGTGCTTTGCTCAAAGTTTTAGGTAGATTTAATTAAACTGATCAGGCTGAGTTAAAACTGAATTAATCAAATTCATGTCCTCTGCTAAAATGAATTCTGTTTTCAGTCCCTTTTGCGATATTATGCAGTTAAACTTACTCAGCTATTTAATGCCCAAAATATCTTTTTCCTTATTTTAATCTCATTCCTAATTGTGCTGTTTTGGATCATCGTTAAGAACTTGTAGTTTTGGATCATCGTTAAGAACTTGTAGTTTTGGATCATCGTTAAGAACTTGTAGTTTTGGATCATCGTTAAGAACTTGTAGTTTTGGATCATCGTTAAGAACTTGTAGTTTTGGATCATCGTTAAGAACTTGTAGGCTCTTTAGATAAGCTTGTTTGAATATGGCAACTTTATCCTTCCACCTTCTAAACTGCCATCCTTGGCTTGCAGAGGTTCCAACCCTTTGGCAGCTATAGTGATGTTATGTACTAGGTAACAGAGATAATGACTATACGTAAAGATAATATTCTACCCCTTTCAGTGTGAGGTGTAAACTTGTAGCTTGTCCTTTTATGCTAAGCTTGCTTTCTGCATGAACTTTGCTATTTATTACATGGGAGATCTTGTTTTCTAGCGTTTATTTCTAATGGTTTTCTTAGCTTAATCTATTGCTGGTCATGCTATGGACAAGTTGTTTGGTACATATACGTGTGTATATTTTTCTATATATATATATATCTAAAACTAAGAAATGACTGTGTATAAATGATTTGACATTGTCTGGTCTCTTTGTGGCTTCCATAAGGCCTCTCGGGAGCAATGCACTCTCACATATTTCCTCAGGCTCATTTTGGTAGGTGGCCACATTTGGTATCAAGTTTCTTGTGGCTAATTGTTCTTGCTTGTAAAAGCTTATTGACAGCTATCTGGTTCTCTGCACTTAGAATTTCGGAAGACTTTCTGTGTTTTAAAATCGAGTGGGTGTGGGCAAAGGGAGAGAAGAGCATACATGGGCAACCTATTAAGCAACTGAAACAAAACCATTATTGATATCCTCCAGGGTCACAATATAATGTGAACAAGTTGAGTGACTCTTGAAGTTTCTACCAACAGTAGCTTGATGCCTTTTGGGATATCCCAAGTCACTGCTCATTTTGTTGTGCTTTTGTTTGCTGTTTTAGCAAGTTTTCCTGTCGAATAGCTTCTCTGCTCTCTGTAACTTGAGAACAATGTTAGTACATTAGTTTTGCGTGTACTTTGTCAGCAGTTTATGTATGTATAATGTCTTGCCCTTGAATGCTTTTGGGGTAAATTTTTCAACTGATAATTAAGCTATATTCATTAAATACATTAATTTTTTTTAAACAGTTGAGCTTGCATAAAATCTAACTTACAACATTTCAAAAGAAAAGTCCTGTCTAATGTTTAACTAGAATAAAATGCCTGGTGTGTCTGTATTTGTACCAAAAAAACTTTTATACGCTTCTCCTTTCAAGAATAACTCCCAAAAGACTGAATAATGGTTTTGTTACTACATTTTTGCACTTGATGTGCTCCTGTTTATTTGCTGAAGGCATGTGGAATAGCATATGAGCTGTGTGTTCTTTACTTGAAATGTTCAGCAGAGAATCAGATGAAAAGTTTTGGGTTGTTTTTTTGTTTTGTTTTGTTTTAAGTCTTACCTCAACAGTAAGAGCATTTGCAATAGGAACTTTGTGTGCAAATAATGTGCATGGTGAAAATTTTCTTTAAAGTGATGTTAAGGATGGGATGAAGGGAGAGGGGATGCATGTATCCCTTATGACTACTTTTTTTTTTTGACTTGTAACTTCCTGTAATGCAGCTTGAAGTAGGAAGATCCTTTCAGGCTTTTCTCGGAAGGAGAAAAACAGAGGGGCTTATGCTGCCTGAAAGTGCTTGCTTCTGATATGTACAGACATTTACCAGAAAAACTCTGGAGGAAGTATATGATAATGTAGAGAACGTAAAAAATAATTTCCTTTTCAGAAAGTATATCTGAATGTGCTAGATCTAGCAAATTTTAAATTATTCCATTCATTTTTTAAAGTGCAGAAGTAAATTATGCACCTAGTTGGTGGTGATCCAAGCTAACAAATCAGTTCAGTGGCTGTAGAAGTTGAACCAACTTTTGTATGGTCACTGAGGCATTAGGAGACTTTTCTTAACATGGCATTATAGTAACTTGTCTCATGAAAAAAAGTGATTTCTTACAAATAATTGAACGTTATTTTTTGCCTACCAGCAGCAACATTTGGTACTGCATCCATGAGCATGCCTGCAGGATTTGGAACTCCTGCCTCCTACAGTCTTCCTACTAGTTTTAGTGGCAACTTCCAGCAGCCCACGTTCCCAACCCAGGCAGCTTTCCCTCAACAGACTGCTTTTGCTCAGCAGCCAAATGGTAGGTCTGTACGTTTTAGATAATCTTGTTTCAATCAGAAACATGGAGAAAATGATGTATCTGTAAGTTAGCAATAATGGGTGTGTACTTACTTCTGTATGAACTTGGTAATAATATTGATGAGGGGTTCCCATGCTCCGTAGTTGAGCTTTCTGACTTGGCTGTGTGCAGTGACATAACTGAAATTTTGCCATAATCTGATACTAAAATTATAAATGTTCCCAGGCTTAAAAGGTTTTTGTGCGAGAAGGATTGTTTTGTCTTCATTTTTGGAGTGTCTGCAACCATTTATAACGCTTTCTCTAACTTCATAGAACACAGGCAAGAGAAAATTGGAAAGTACTTTCTCCATAAATTTAAATGATAAAATAACAATGAAAAAAGTGCATATGTAGAAATTGGAAACTAATTCGTTCCGAACAGTTGAAAAGAAACAAAAAGCCTAGCCATATTCTTATTTACACTTACGTTCCTGATAGTGTTTAAGTAGGATCAATCCTCCTGATTGTGCGGTCCAAGCTTCCACGTATTTTTGTGTGGGAGCTGCAGCAAAGAACTCTTTGAAGATTGATTACTAGTATTAATATTTTTCACTTCTCTTTCCAAGGAGCAGGTTTTGCTGCATTTGGACAGGCAAAGCCTGTAGTAACTCCTTTTGGACAAGTTGCAGCTGTTGGAGTATCTAGTAATCCTTTTATGGTAAGTGAGTTGTTGCATGTTATTAATAACTTCTGTATGTCTGAAGAGGCATAATCTGTAACATTTAATTTAGAGACACACAAAGCTGGGGTTTTTTTCCCCTTCAAATAAGGGAAGGCAGCATGTGAATCTCCTAAATGCAATTCATTATTACGATGACATGGCGTTTGTAAGGCTGTTCAAATCAAAACAGAGGTACTTGTATACCATGCTCTTACAGTAGTGTAATTTCAGAGAACTACCAAAAAAAAAAAAAAAGACTGCAACATAAACCAGAAATATTTCCTAATAGGTTGTTTTCTTTTATATATATCCTGCATTTATGATTTACAATATGGACAAAAATCTTAAATATTTGTCTTATTTTTCTTCTTTCATTTTCCCCCAGGCTGGTGCACCAACAGGACAATTTCCAACAGGAAGCTCATCAACCAATCCTTTCTTATAGCCTTATAGACACTTTACCCAAAAGAACTCTTATGTGGTCACATAACATCTCTGCGCCTCTTGCACTGTTGTCTTGTTTCACTGATATTAGCTTTAAACACAAAAGAAGTCTTTAAGAAGTAAAAATAAAAGCCTGCATTGTGTACCTTTAAAAAAATTAAAAACAAACAAAAAAAAATTACACAAACCCCAAGAAAATCAACCCCCCCCACCAGGTAATAACGTGCAAAACAGAGGGCTGTGGTAACATCCTTGAACCTGTGAACTGGCAGGTAAAAAGTAGCGGTATCATGTATATTAAAATTGGCTAATAAGTTATTGCAGATACCACATTCATTATGCTGCAGTACTGTACATATTTTTCTTAGAAAATAGCTATTTGTGCATATCAGTATTTGTAACTTTAACACATTGTTATGTGAAAAATGTTACTGGGAAATAGATCAGCCACTTTAAGGTGCTGTTGTATCTCTTGGAATGAATGAGCTACATCATTTTAACCATTGGTATTGGAAGTCATGAAGTTAAATTGAAGGTTTGTTCATTTCTCAAAATGTTTTCCTTTCCTAAGAGCTCTTCTATTTATACATGCCTAAATCTCTAATGTTAGAGGGATACCTGTCTGCGTAATAAAGCTGATCATGTTTTGCTACAGTTTGCAGGTGAAAAAAATAAATATTAGAAAAAACAATTGTGTAGCATTATTTCTGTGCAGTAACATTTTATTGGGTTAAAACGTACATATTGTCAGTCTTGTACACAGATGAGTTATCAGAAGCAAAATGCTTAAAGGTGAGTTAAGCTTAAGACTTTCGCATGCCTCGCTTGGGTATGTTTCTTTGTGTCCTTGTGATTAAGCTTGCTGTTCTAGCTCCAGTGAAGCGACCTATCGAACAGGAAAATGTTAAGTGAACTTGGATTATTTTGACAGAATAGCTGTGCAATGAAGGACACTGGAAGCACTGAGGAGGGTAGTTACTCGCGAAATGGTTAGCGGCAAAAGACATGTAATTATGGGTGGCTAATGAGAGTCTTTGAACAAGACTTAGCTGTGATCGGAACAGTGTGCGCAATAGCAGGCCAAGGTACCACAGATGTAATAGCACTCTTTCTATTAAAAATTGATATATATTAGTAAGACCTCCCGTGGGATATTAAATTCATCAGTTATTTTTTTAAGTACTGGAATGTTTCCTGTCATACTAAATGCAATTTGTAGAGGGGGGAAAAAATGTCTGGCTTGTCTAGTCTGTAATAGTGAGAAGGTTCAAGAAAAATGTAACTGCATCAAAGCAGTTGGTGTTTTAAACAGAGATAACTTGGCTCAAGCGTAACACACGTGGTTGAAGTGTAATACTGGAACTAGGCAAGTAATGTAAATATATCATGAATACATAAACTGCAAGCTTAAAAACAGGTTTCTGACCAGCTGGAGAACAAAACTCTCAAGCTTTCAAGATAACGGGAATAAATAAATCGGATAATGTCAGAAGATTTTTGAGAAAAGGTTGTGCAAGGCCATTTGAGACAAATGCGAAAATTCTTAAAGGTAAGACATCTCACTTGTAACTGACTGCCTGCATGTTAGATCTGCTGATTTCTAGGGGAGCTGAGAGACTTGACCGCTGCTTGTAAAAACGCTCCTGTGGCAGTGCTTTTGACTTCCATTGCCTGCCTGGGGGGGGGTAGTCATTTCTCTATCTTACCTTTTTTTTTTTGAAGAGCTTTGGAGCTTTGGAGCTTTGG